ATTTATTTAAGACGCTAAAATGCAACTTGTGTATTTTCTGTAAATCGTGATGTAATATGATTTGTGCATGATGTAGCACGGTAGGAAGAGGTTCACCTGTGTCGACATGCTTCCCTGTAAGCGCATAACTTCATTGAAGTTATGAAGAATGGACTGGTACTGCTGATCAGTGTACTCAAATCGATTCCCAAACACCAAACAGCAGATGATATTCGACACAGCATTATTTATCAGTAGCTGGACATTAAAGGGCTTTCCTGCAAAAGAAGACAGAAAATGCGGGGTAGAAGGACCCCGTGTCATAACAAAGCAAGCAAACTCTATTGAATTGTACCAATCAGCCTCATAACTTCAGCTCTATCACAGAGAAAGGTGGTGATCTTTAAATGCAATTTCTTTCACAGTAAAATAGCACAGATGTTTTTTATGCCTTGGTGTTCTGTGAAAGCCTCTGAGAGATACTGGCACTCCTGCTGGATGTATAACTCCAGGTTCTTCTTGCCCAGACCAAAGTTTCTGAGTGTATGAAGAGCAAATCTCCTCTGCTGCTTCCATGGGTAACCATTTGATATCACAAGACCTTTGAACACACAAATACACCGAATTACACTGAATGTAACAAGCATTCGCTTACAGCCCTGATTTGGTGTCTCAATTACGCTTTTGACTGTATTAAACACTAACTATATATATATTTTTAATGAAAAAGAGAAAAACAGAACCTTCATTCCCAAATAAATCTTCAAACAGTGGTACAGTGGGACGATCTATTAAGTCGTCTCCTTGTTGGACCAGGGCTTCTTTCACAAACTTGTAGCTATTAATGACCACGGTTCTTCCACCAAAGATTCTGATGGTGAAAATGTTTCCATATTTCTCTACAAACTGAACAAAGACAGCAGGTAGATTTTGTGGTTCAACAGTACTCAGAGAATAAATACTGCTTCTACATCCGTAGTGACTGCAGATAATAGAATATTGAGCAATGCTGCCTCACTAATATTATATCTCGTAGAACCCAAGCTTCTCTCTTGTGTGAATAAAGGCAACTTTAGATAAAGTTCACTGAGTCAATGATTGCAAGAGTTTTAAATAAGGGCTTGCCCGAACTTGTTGTGCTTTACTTCAAAAAGGTAAAAGGTCATTTTAGTAACTATTACATCCAATTATACACTGCTTGTGAACATGATAGCGCAATTATAAAATGTATTTTTAACATCTGAATCTAAATATCTTGTCATATTTGACCTCTGATCTCACTTTTAGATTTTACATCTGTCTTCCTTTCAGTTTGACCCTAAAATGTGTTATATCTTTAACAAAAGTTTTATCAAGAGAAAGAGAATGGTTAGTTAGAAACATAATGTTGTTTTATATTGCATAATAAGCTTATTATTATATGCAGTTCTTCAAAAATCAATACCTATTTTCCATTACCTACTCCTACATAATGTTTGTGTAATTAAAGTAAGCCTCTGCTATGCTACCTTCATCTGATTTTTGCTGCACTACCATCTGCACTTGCATCTTACAGTAAGTACTGTAACGGACAACCTTATTGACTATCTCTATGCACTTTTGTTTCTTTAAGAGAGATGTTTGGTTGTGCTGCAGGAAAAGCCAATGAGTGTGTGGGAGGGGTTTCTGGTTGTTGTTTTTCGGAGCTGGAGAGGAGCGGTGACCCTCCATGGGGTGAACGCCCGTGTTCCTGTACCTATATACAACCGTGGTGAGATCAAAACGTCTGGTGCTTGAGAGCACATGTGAACGTTACTGTACTTTTAAAAAGACCAAAACAAAAAAAAAAACCAATATGGTAAAAATAAAATAATATTCACTTCAAAGTAAATACTACCCAGAGAATGAACTGCCGGGTGGAGGTTTGCATTCTCTGAGTGTGTCTTGTTTGATTATACACAGATAAGAATGAAGCCCAGGGCTCGTACCTCTCTGAACTGCAGGTGTATTCTGTCAGGTCTGATGCGATGAATGTCACCGAGAAACGGGAGAGCCCACGGTCCAGGTGGGAAGTTCTTCGGCACTCTGTTCTGCCAAATATTATTCAACAGCAGGAAAACACAGAGAAATATTAAAATGCTCCTTCCATCTATCCACTCAAAGCCAAGAACACTGTATAATGTCTCCATTTAAAGTTCTTAATGTTGAATGCTGGATTACTGCAGTGTTTTAACTGTGCTGCTACCACGAAACAAAGTGCGATCAGAAAAATGGGTGGACTTCCTTAAACACAAAGGTGAAGGAAAGACTCGTGTTTGCGCATCTGGACTTCAAAATAAAAGCTGATAATGGAGGGGTTGTTTTTTCGCATGTGCAACATTATTACACGAATTAATTACAGATTACTTCACCAGTGTCAATATCAGTGTTTGAGCGAAAAGTGTTTATTTCCTGCGTGAAACAAAGAAATATAAGCCACTAGCACAGCCTACCCACTTTTTTAAAGAAAAAAATACAGTATGTAAACAACGTCCAATTACTTCATACCATTTCACAACCATGGACGGGCCAAAAAACAAACAAAATATACAGCTTCCAAGAACACAGCTGAGTTTCGTTTCTTTATTTACACAATTTAAGTCCTTTCAATGACAGTCAACAAGCATGAGGGATGGTCGTCTGCCATGACCGCTGAGGGGATGAACACAGGACAAAGACATGCTGTGAAAGAGACCCAGAGAAATACAATACTAGAAATAACAGTACTACTTATACACATTATATAATATTCCAAGGTAGCAGTATACAGTATACTGCCTAACTATAGATGCATGAATGCTCCCAAATGGTGTGCCTTTGCTTATTGATGTGTTGAGAATTCAGTGATAGCCATAAAATATTAAAATATTCAAGGGCAGAAGGAAATAATTGTTTGTGGAACCTGTTCCAGATGTAGAGGAGGCGTTAAATCCAATAAAAGCCGTTCTCAGTGAGACATAACCGGTTATTACTGACAGAATCCTAGAATCTTTGTGTTAAGACTGTTGCACCTATGTGTATAATGTTGGACTATCTCTGGTTGTTGTTTTTTAAGGCCTGGGCTTGTTTTTAGGTTCAAGGTTCAAGGTTCTTTATTTGTCACATGCATAGTTATACAAGTATA